TTCAACCTCCAGAAAAACCAAACGTCTACCTGTGTCAACTGCGGTAAAAGAACACTAAACTCCACCTGCTGCTTCTCTGTGCTTTTAAAATATCAATGTAAAGTCAAATGCAAGTCCTCATCATCCAGTATATCTTCTAGGACTATCAATATAAAACACTGAAAGAGATATGAAGTTATTCCTCAGATATTAGAGAAGTATAAGTCTTGTTATTCATTCATGCCACCCCTCCTTCTCGCCCTTCCCCGCAGAGGTTTCAATGGCACGGCAGTCATCCTCATTTGTTTTGCAAACCAATTCAGGGCTATCAGCAGCCAGGCCGATTAATTAGGCAATCCGTCGGGAGCAGAGGGAGTTTGTCACAGCGAGGTCACTGCATGAGGTGCCCATAATTTTCATCTCCGACTGAGGTGTATGTAAACCTCTTACTGATGGTCTTTATCAGTGAAAACAATATTACCGGAAAAATGTCTTAACACTGGTGTGCATTCAAGGGTTTTATTGCAGATGTGAAGTTTAGGCATTTTTGCTTAATTATTTACTGAAACAATGAATTAAGCAATTATTAAAATAGCTGTAATTAATTGTTTGTATTGACTTATCAGTTCATAAACGTTTCAGAACTGAAGAAACTATTCACTGAAGCTTCTGAGAAGCATGCAAAGCTAAAGACAAACAAACAAATAGTTGTGATGTAACATGCCAATGTTACAACCTATTTTCAGACGTTGGATGTCCTGCATCCCGTTAAGATTTTCAAACTGTGAGGCAAGGGAGAGTTGCAAGCGGGGGGCGGAGGGAGAGAAATGAGGCAACGATACTGCATTATGTGAAAGGGACAGGTGCGTGTCAGTTTTATTAAAACATGGGAAGTTAGTTATTTCAGTTTGGCCTGCTGGTATGGTCCTCTTACCAGAAAGGTCAGCAGTTGCAGCAGCAGCTGTGACACACAGCTCATGGTGGCAATTAAGGTACTTTAAAACCCTTAGAGCCTGGTTGCCGCAATTTGAAAATTTGTACTCCTTCTTAGAGTCATAACTCAATTAAATGTGAACATGATACAAATATCTTTAAATTCGGTGTAACTGAGGATTTCATTATCTCTGTCCATGGTGAATAAACATCCATACATCTGCTGAGAAATCTTTGAAAAAGGATAACTCCAGAACTTCACAAGTTTTCTTCAGCATCAAAGTAATCCAAAGTGAAAGTGGTCCGTACATTCATGGGTAGATTGCTAATTGACAATTGGGCAGTCAATAAGTTAACAAAGTATAGGCTAAAGGGCTCAAGTTTAGTGGTCTAGATTATAGATAGATAGATAGATCCTTTGCAGGAAATTACAGTGTCATGGCAGCTTCAAGACAGACCCAATACCAAGCATTCACTCAGAACATATCCATAAGTTAAATTAAAATACCACAATCTAAACGAAAGGAGTTATTTTTGTGCATTATAGAGTCGTATAGCAGCTGGTATGAAAGACTTCCTACTCCGTCTTGCACATTAGTGTGATCAGTCTTTGACTGAAGGTGCTACTGTTTATCACCTTCAGGTGGTGGATTGGGTGTGCAGAGTTGATCAATATTGATCTTAGTTTATTCAATGTTCTGGCCTCTGCTACTTGCTGAACCGTCTCTAGTTCAGCCCCAACCACCAAGCCAGCCTTCTTGATGAGCTTGTCCACCCTGTGTCTGTCTGCTGTGCGGACGCCGTCTTCCCAACAAGCCACAGCAAAAAACAGAGCACTGGCCACCACTGTTTGATAGACACTGCGGAGCAAGGGTTGACAGATATCGAACAACCTTAGCCTCCTTAAAAAATAAAGTTGGCTTTGCCCCTTGCAGTACACCGCCTCCATATGGCTCTTCCAGTCCAGCTTACTGTCAAGCTGCACACCAAGGTACTTGTGATTAGTCACCAGCTCCACCTCAGTGCCCCCAACGGTAATAGGTGTTGGTTGGATCTGAATGGGAGCCCATAGTGTTATACTTTAAAAAAAAACACTCTCAGGCTTTAAGTCAGTGTCTCCAAAATCAACCTCAACTGAGTGCCTAAACAGAACCATAAAAACATAACTCACACTTGAAATATTTTGAGACTTTGCAATCATGTCAGCAAAAAATGTCATCATTAGGCCATTATGTTGCAACAAAAAAATAATCTGTGGGACTACATTTCATTCATATGGTATTTTCTGTTTCAGATTAGTAGTATACAAATGTAATGCTTCGGAGATAGGTTTGCTGCAAGAATTTTATTCAGCAGGCCTCTCAGACAAAGCTTCTGAGCTCTTTAATATCAATTGACCAATAGGGATGATCAGTTTTCTGTGATCCTGCATGTAGTTTCATTAAAATGAAGGTACAGGGACAGAATTTATAAAACCTGTGGCAATATTCATATATAAAATAACACACTGCATAAAACATATACAGAGGGACTCACCAGTGGTATTATTAATCGCCCATGGATTTCAAGTCACTTCATCTATGAATATGCTGCTCTCTTCTGACTCAAAATATGAACTACAGCCAGCTTAGATAATTTCCAGAAATGTATCAGCAATTCTGTTCAAAAAGTCATTTATCAAGCAAAAACTTTTGTTTGTTCCTACTTTTCAAATGAGAGCATTTGGTGCTTTTCTCAGTCTGAAATCAGTCTGATTTTGATATATTTCACACTTTTCTGAGGTTTTACAGTCCAAACAATCAGTACATGATGAAAATGATGAAATTGTTAGTTACAGCCCTACACAAACGCTGTTACATTGTGCTGAAAGCAGGTCGATTCATAAGCACCTGTCAATGATCAGGACCCTCAGTGTGTGGTATTTCACAGTGATAGCAGCCTGTCTTGACTGCACTCTGCTCATAGCTCACTGGTCTAGCTGAGTTCTCAGAGCCAAAGCCATTTTCTCTGTCCGATTCTGATTCGTGTGTCCTAAAATGAGCGGACATCACCAGAACGTCCAGATAGCCAGTCACACTGTATTACTAACCAAAGCTTTTTTGTTATTTTGGAGCATGCCTCACATTATCTCTTACATGGTATTCACCCAAGGCTTAATCCCCAGCACTCTGTTGCTCTCATTATCCATAACAATTAATAAGTAATGATTAATATTATCTTATCATACGGTAAGAAGATGAACCTGCTTACCTCCACTTTATTAAAATAATAGTATAATAGATTAGTAAATTCAATGTCATCTGAATTTCAGATTGTAATCCCTTCCACTACTGGTTACTGTAATCACATTAATGCGATACAGAGTGCCTGGATTTCCTTGAAATCACATTAACTTAAAACTGCTCTTAGACTGCTAGGTGCAGTATTTGGTTTAGTTTAGTTTTTTCCAATTAAAAGCTATTTATCATGCACTGACCTTGAGGTGGTAAGGCATCTTGTCATTTCTTATCTAAACATTCAGACTCCTGCAACTCCCTTTTTATATGTCTTGGCCAAAATTCAGTTTCATTCTGAGGCTTTGAGCAAAATGTAAAGAGAACGGTTACCTCAGCATCTCTTCATCTCTTTGTGGAGTGAAAAAGTCTGCTGTCATTTTTTGTCATTTTGGAGCATGCCTCACATTATCTCTTACATAGTATTCACTCAAGGCTTAATCCCCAGCACTCTGTTGCTCTCATTATCCATAACAATTAATAAGTAATGATTAATATTATCTTATCATACGGTAAGAAGATGAACCTGCTTACCTCCACTTTATTAAAATAATAGTATAATAGATTAGTAAATGCAATGTCATCTGAATTTCAAATTGTAATCCCTTCCACGTTAATGCGATACAGAGTGCCTGGATTTCCTTGAAATCACATTAACTTAAAACTGCTCTTAGACTGCTAGGTGCAGTATTTGGTTTAGTTTAGTTTTTTCCAATTAAAACCTATTTATCATGCACTGACCTTGAGGTGGTAAGGCATCTTGTCATTTCTTATCTACACATTCAGACTCCTGCAACTCCCTTTTTAAATGTCTTGGCCAAAATTCAGTTTCATTCTGAGGCTTTGAGCAAAATGTAAAGAGAACGGTTACCTCAGCATCTCTTCATCTCTTTGTGGAGTGAAAAAGTCTGCTGTCATGAAGGCGGCAAGTGACATGCTATTGTTTAAATACGGGGACATGGGCACACTATTCTTGAAAACATTTATAAAGTTGCAGTTGGTTGATCATATGAAAAGGAAAAGAAAAATGTCAGGAATGAAAAAGAGACAGATAGAGAAAGAAGTTCAAACCCTGGGTCCATTCCCACCTGTGGTTCCGAAGGTGTTTAATCATCTAACAAGCTCTTCTGACACTGTATACTGGCCCATTAAGAATCAGGCTTTGAATCATCACATGATCTGATCCCTATTTCTGGCCTTTTAGTCAGTGCATATGCGCAATCTCAGATCCTTAGGTAAAGCATTCCTGATGAGTCCAAACTGCAGTCTAGAATATAGAGACAGGGCTATTAAAACCATGGCCAGTACACTGTGAAACAACTTGCCCAAGGAGACAAAGACAAGTCATTTAAAGTCCAACAGCAAGTCTGGACTTGTATTGATTATCATTGTACATGGGTTTGGGGACATTGTCTGATCAAGTGTTTGGAGGCAGAACTCTCTGGTGCTAATTCTGGCATACAAAGGAAATACATAAAAGCATATTTTGCTTCTACTGAGGGACATGTATTGGAAAAGCCACCCTGGGAAAGATCCATGTAAGGCTACAAAGTTGTGTGTCAATAAAAATGATCTAGCTGCAAGCTATAGACAACGTGTTGGGTGAAGGCCAGATTAAACCACCTTCAAGTTACCTTTGCAAGAGAACTCTAAAAACATAAAACTTTTTAAACTTGCACTTTTTACTTAAACTTTCTGATCCTTGGCAAAAGAAACCATCTGTAATTCCAAAATATGACATGGTCAATTCTCCATAATTTGGCCTCACCCCCAGGCTCTTATAATCAGTCAGCTACAGTCACAATCAGCTAGACACTTCTATCCACAGGAAGCAGAAAGCACAGAGCTGCATGCAGCATAACAAGTCTACAATTTGGGGGAAATATACTGGCACACAGTGATGAGGGTCAGCACACAAATTTTGTTTGCATGTAAGTAAACTTTGCCATGCACCACACTTGGATTTGCTACTTTAGATGTTTTTTAAGATGGTACTATACCCTAAAATCTCTTTTTTATTCTTTTAAAAAATGTTTTTATTTTATTAGTTGAAGATTTTTATAGTTTCAGGAAAAAACGCTAATATATTTGTGTATAAGACAATGCCACTTAACTTAAGAAAAAAAGTTTTTTGAGAAAAAAGTAAAACTGGTGGACAACCAATGAGAATGTAATGATAACAAACTGTGAGCCACAAAATCTGATTTTTGGTAAAATTATTTTTATTAATTTATAATATCATCTGTCACTTAAATCCAGAATAGTCCCTCTGACAATACAGCAGATCACATTTCAGTATCACCATATTACTTTACAGAAGAAAATGTAATTTACATAATGTAAATGTGAGACATAGTTTACCATTCAATATTTGATTTAATTCTAAGCCTTATAACCCCATTTGTTAAATTAAAATAGATTAAAATGAGATAATAACAACAACAATGGATGGACAGATTAAGTGATTCCAGTGGTTTACAATGCAGACTGATTTGTTTCAGGATTATCTTTGGGATGTTATTATTAGTTTAAAAAAAAACACCATATTACATTACCAGGTTATTCTTTCAGTTAAAAAAATAAACATGAAGTCTCTCACTGATGATAGACTTTTGACTTATGCACTAAAAAAGATAAAACTCAAAAGCTGGAGGGAAAAGCTTTATTTCAGTGGAATTTTATAAACCATAAGAGGCAGTAAATCTACAGTTTCTGTTTAATTTCAGTTTGTGGAAACAGAAACTCATCACAGTCACATACTGTGTAACCAAAACAGTAACAAAATAAGGCTTAAGGTATGTGAGTCCATCAGAGGAAGTTTAACCATGGGATTTAATTGAATTAATTCACTACTTTCAGTATTTAAATATAAAAAAAAAGAATTTAGCAACTCACAACTTGTCAATGTACATAAGTTATTAATTAATTGATGACTTAAGTAATCAGTTCCACATATCGAGTGATATTGTGGACAAATGTGTGATTTAGGTAATTGCCTCCAAACTTCCAATCGTTATGTGACTATAACTGTACAGTGGTTCCTAAAAGGGTTCAGGCATCTCGTGGTCTCTAAAAGGCAGAATAAAGCACATATCTTAAGGAAAACAAATGTATCCTATGTCCCGTTTGAAAATATTCTCAGGGATTAAAATATTATTATAATAATAACCTCAATAACCTTAAAAAAACAGATGTGATAAGCGATAATAAATACTGACAAGAGCATATAAAATGTGATACATATAATGTTTATAAAAGTGAAATATTAACTTTGAACTATAACAATACATTAATGTTCAACTTGTTTTGAATAAACTCAAACATGTCATTTTCAGACGCAACTTTTAATATTCTTCACTAGTATATTTTAAGCATATGTGGATTGCCAGCAGAAAATACATGATGTACTTTATTGCTACATATTTTCTATTTGATATTAAAATTACACTTTTCACATTAACAATTAATTAATTAAAATATTACTTTATTACATTTAACTTTTGTTGTCACAAATTATTGTCTTTCATGTACTTTTTTAACAATTTTTTTGTACACATTTCTGACATACTTCAGTATATGATGTAGTGTAAAAAGGTGTCTGTTGAAGTAATGTAAAAAAAAATGCTTTTATATGCTAAATTTGTTCTTATTTTAAATTGAGTAAGTTCAGCCATTTGTAGATGACAATTTTATTACAGCTGAGATATGTTCTAAACATCGGAGTTGCACTTCACTGAAATATTTTAATTTGGTGTAATGCGTTTTTAATTACTAATGGCGGGACGGTTCATCCCACCCTTACCAGGCAGACACACATCCTTCTCTTCATCACAAGTAAACAGACACACACACACCCTTCTCCTCCCCAAACAGCTTTATTCTGCTTTGATATGATGGCTTGAAATAACTTACATTCTACGGGTGGTTTCTCCCACTGCTGTTTGTCTAGCCACTAAAGTTGGCATGACATGCAATTGTAGTATTCATTGAAATAAACCATAATTGAACTTTTTTTTTTAAAGAATAGTTGCCATTTTGTCTCAACCAATGAGTTGAGAGTGATGTATCCATGTCATCATTTTCAATCGATAGAGGCTGCAGCAGTGGTTGCTATATTTATGATTTATTGTCTTTCTTGTCCTCAGTGTGTAAATTTGTCTATGGCTTCACAGGCAGATTAAAAACCACATCATTAAAAAAAATAAATCACACTACAAAAACATATTAAATAACACAAAATACAAAGTACGGACCATAACAGATAGGATTCCAGTGTGGAGACATTAGGAATTTAGTAAGATTATTGAATTTGGATTGAAAGACTTTTGTAAATGGTCTTCGTTGCTACAGCTGCTCTATAGCGCCTCCCAGAGGGCAATTTGGTAAATTCATTAAACAAGGGGTGTACAAAATCAGATGCAATTTGTCTATCTTTTAGTTCCACCTGCATTTTATATATACATCCCAGTTGTTTCTGCTCTTTACCAATAATGTTAACAGCCAAATTTGTAATCTGTTTTCGTCCTTAACCCCCAAATGTCCATACCATGTACATACATTAAAAGTTAGAATTCTTTTGATGAGACTTCGATAAACACTCTCTAGGATATTCTTGCTTATGTCGTATGAGTCCAATTTCCGGAGCAGATACAAACGCTGCATTGTTTTTTTTAAAAATGTACTCTGTGTTGGCTGTAAAAACTTAATTTACAATCAAAAATGGTTCCTAAGAATTTAACCTCCTCAACTATCTCAACAGGCTTATCATTAATCAAATATGGACAAGCACTGTTGTGTCTCATGATGACTAGCTCTTTAGTCTTCTTTTCATTAACAGAGAGAGCACTGAGCTCACACCACTTAGTGAGCTTTTAATTTCATATTTTTCTTATTGGAAACGTGTATGCAAAGCCTGATATATCTTTTTCCTCTGTGCCATAGAGCTCCATTATTACTATTAAAAAGACATCAATGAGTCACAGTGTTTCACTGGGTGATCTTCCTTACGATGAACACATAAACTCATACATATAGCACCTTGCTGCTGGAAATACTCACCAAAAGTTGATTAATCCCCTCCTGACAGTACACTCCATCAAATGTACTATTTCCCCAGTTTGTTTGAAGAAAACAGTGGTGGACAGTAATTTGAGGTACTTGTACTTTACTTGAGTATTTTCTTTTCACGTTATACTTGTACTCCACTACATTTCAGAGGGTTTAGTTACTAGTTACTTTACAAATTAAGATTTTAACACAAAAAATATATGAGGACTTGATAAAATATGTTTTGTTACAAACTAACCAACATTTTAAACAAGTACAGCTGACACAATTATTAGATTGACATTGAAATTAACTGGCAACAAGTTTGTTTAAGACACTTGTCATGTAAAAACATTTCATGGTTCCACCTTCACAAATGTGAAGATTTGCTGCTTTTTCTTTTAATTAAAAAAGATTAATTTATAATAATTTCGAGCTTTTGGACTGTTTGTTAGACAAAGATTAAGATTTGGTACATTTGCCCACTGACAAAGAAACTATCAGTCTTTTGTACTGTGACTCAAGTAGAAGTATTTAAATTGAAGACTTCTACTTTTAGTGGAGTCATATTTATGTAAAACAATGTACAATAAGGAAACATGCAATGCAAATGCATTATCCAAAACAGTAACTTAAGCTTAAGCAACAAGCTGCTGATTACTGCATTATATTCTGTAATATTTTTCTACTTTGAATTACCACCTGCCACCTTAATTGTGTTTCCCTTTACATAAATAAAGACATTTCCACCATAAATTGGTGCAGAACCTAAGTGGTAACTGTTTACTGGCAGCTGTTATTTTCCACTTCAAGCACTAGTAATGTATAAACCACTTTCTTAGCAAACTTTGGGACAGTGAGGATGTGCGGCCCTTCACGGTAATTCTGGCCCATGCGATTGCACATAAACTAGAGAAAAAAGAAACTGCGACACCGATGTCAATTTGTGTGTAGGGCACAGCATGGCTGTTATCTTGTGTTAGTTGTATCCATGTGTTACAGTTAGCGTACCCTGCAATATGTTTAGCACTGCCATTGCGGGTTTCCTACATTTACAAATGATCTGAAGTTACAGTTGGGGAAAAAATTATTTGATCCCCTGCTGATTTTGTACATTTGCCCACTGACAAAGAAATTATCAGTCTATAATTTTCGTGGTTTATTTGAACAGTGAGAGACAGTATAACAACAAAAAAATCCAGATAAATGGCTGTCAAAAATTTTATAAATTGATTTCCATTTTAGTGAGTGAAATAAGTATTTGACCCCCTCTCAATCAGAAAGATCTCTGGCTCCCAGGTATCTTTTATGCAGGTAACGAGCTGAGATTAGGAGTACACTCTTAAAGGGAGTGCTCCTGATCACGTTTGTTACCTCTATAAAATACACCTGTCCACAGAAGCAAGCGATCAATCAGATTCCAAACTCTCCACCATGGCCAAGACCAAAGCGCTGTCCAAGGATGTCAGGGACAAGATTGTAGACCTACACAACAAAGCTGTAATGGGCTACAAGACCATCGCCAAGCAGCTTGGTGAGAAGGTTACAGGCAGGCACGATGGCTGCCTATGACCCCGGAAACACCATCCCCACCGTCAAACATGGAGGTGGAAACATGCTTTGGGGGTGTTTTTATGCTAAGGGTACAGGACAACTTCACCGCATCAAAGGGACGATGGACGGGGCCATGTACCGTCAAATCATGGGGGAGAGGTACCACCAAGTACTAAGTCATGTTTTGCAGAGGGGTCAAATACTTATTTCACTCATTAAAATGCAAATCAATGTATAATATTTTTGACATGCGTTTTTCAGATTTTTTTTGTTGTTAGCAATTACACAGAACATTGTGTACAACTGCCACTACACGCAAGACATTACTAATCTTAATAAGCTTTTAATCTTACATTAAATTTTTAAATCGGATCTTGTCTCTCACTGTTCAAATAAACCTACCAGTAAAATTATAGACTGATAATTTCTTTGTCAGTGGGCAAACGTGCAAAATCAACAGGGGATCAAATACTTTTTCCCCCCACTGTAGATATGTATGTTTGCCGATATTGCTTTACATTCATGTTATTCTTATGTATATTGTTTTTTCTCCTTTGACCACACACACACACTTACTTAACCAAATAAGTGTTGTATGGAATATGTATGTCTTCTGCACGGTCCGCAATAAATTACTTGAACTGTGGATCCTCTCTCCTGTACCAGATTCTTTGACTGCAATCATCGTATCTGCCGACCCAAACCAAGTACCTTTCAAGAGGCCCCCGCCTTTATTTCAACTGCAGCTAAATGTTAGCAATCTGAATCAGCTGTGTATTTGGTGTCTTGAATACACCCCATTCCTCCTATAAACAAATGACTTGAATCACTTAACTTAGTGAGTGTAGCCCTGCAAGTTTGCTTGCAACTGACTGAGAAATGAACAGATCTTTTCAGGCAGTTCAGTTTATTCACCCATAAGATTTGTTCTTTTGAACAAAACACTTCTATCCAAAGCCATGTTTTAGTCCCAGAAACTAACATTTAAAGGAAAAGGTTATTCAGTGTCTTTAATGCTTTAATGGCCTTGGTGGTAATTCGGCTCCCGATAGAAACCTCCTCAAAGGAAAAGCCACCTTAACTAAAAACAAACCTGAACTGAGCCAACGTTAGCAGCAGCAGCAGCTCAGCTTGCAGCACTCACTGTGTCCGCCTGAGCGTCAGAGCTGACATCAGCAAGACTTATGTGTGCCATCTGGGTGCTGATCATGATTTATTGGTATACAAATGTGGTCAGTGAGTTGACGGTAGAAAGGAGATGAGCAGTAGTAGCAAATCGGATTCAAATGCCCAAGATGCTGGACTTGAAGCAAGTAGCCTCTACTGGACTATTCAGAAATGTTCAGCACTGCAAGCCCCACCACCCAAAGTTCCAGTACTTTGGGAAAGTACTAGACCCTGTGAAGGGACTTTTTGGGGGGTAAACCAAAGTCCCCAGAACTCAATTTAGACACTGGTGCCTGCGATGGAAATGCAGTGAGTTCCTCGAAAGGTTCCTAGTTCCTGGGTAAATTTCCTACGGTGGAAACGTTGCTAAAGCTACATTTTCAATATTGTAAGAGACTTCTCTTGACTTTGCAGGGTTGCTGTTCTGCTGGACCCTAAAAGGACCTGCTGCAGATACATCTGTTCCATCATCTTCATCATCACCACCATCATCATTCTCAAGTACACTACAAAACTCTTTTCCTGCCACAATGTTTCTTCCAACTTCCACTGAAAGCGCAATTCCCTTTTCATCAATACATTAAAGTTTAGAAACAGATAAATACCAGACAGATATGTACAAGAACAATTAGTGAGAGGCTGTATGATTATAATGGCTTGCATTTAGATATTATTATTTAAACTAAGCATTTTAAGTAAAGATGTTTTTCTGCCACTGCATGGCCTTTTTCTAACTTAAAATTCATTCAAACTCAAATTGATTTGTGTTTAGAAGAAATATGTTTGCAAAAAGCTTAACTCAGTTTAAATAATGTCATATTGGTGTGTCCTGACCCAACACGACAGACAGCTCTCACCACCCTGTCGTGTAAAAATTCAAGACTTGGGCCAGATAAGAAAGTTTGAACTTTTACCAACATTTTTATTATCAACAAAAACAGACACCAATTAGAAGTTCCACCGGAGTGTGTCAGAGATCGGTGCAAAATAGAGCCCCATTCTGTTACCAGAACAGAGACCCGAGTCGACATGAAAACCATGTAACGACTGACTTTCACCTCCTTCTGGACCTCCTTTTATAGCTCTGTTTCTTGGCTTCACATCATCTCTTGGCTCTCTTTCCTACTGCACCTGAGTCTGGGAAATTCCATGACTGCCTGCTCCTCCTCTCTGTGTCCTCTGCATGCACTCTGCTTGATCATGCTATTTCTTCCAAACTGACTTTTATGGAATAAACTGGTGTTGTTTGTGCTCTGTGCTAGAAACAGGACATTCTTACTGTGATGGACTGTATGTTTTGTAATACAATTTGCACAAAATCTGCTCCTATATTTTCCTTTGCAGGTGTTTTTGATGCTGCCTCACTGTGCTCCCTCCCTTTTCTCCCAAAGCACACGAACTTGCTCACACACACACACACATGTGCTACTGCTGAGCCTGGGCAGTTAGATACAGAAAGGAGCACACACACTCAGAGCTACAGAGTTTTAACACTGTGATCCTAACTTTACACTATAAAATAACACTTTAAATGATGACAATGTAGACCACCATTGCTCTAGTAATTAATGATAACAATTTAGGCTATAATGCTCCAAAATAATTCACAACAACCCCACCATCTTCATCATCAACAGCATCACCATCCTCAAGTGCAACACAAAATTCTCTTACTCCCACAGCTGCTCCTCCATTGAAAACTAAGAGGAGGGAGGAATCGTCAACAGTAACATGGACCACAACTATCCAGACCTCATTTACCCAACCTGCCCCATCACCTGTTGATGTGACCACTACAAATTCAGCTCAATCCATCAATGATGCTGATGCCACCTCTACAGTTTCTACTCAATCCACAGACCTCGTGACAGCCAGGATTGGACAAGCCAAAACCAGTCCTGTAGTCGATACATCTTCATCTGCCACATCCCCATCTACCAAAGCGCAGCCCACTACTCTAGGGCCTGACCCAACATCTGTGACCCAGACCACACCAGCCACCATCACAACCACCACAGCTACCAACAGCATCAACAGTAGCTCTTTAAATACAGAAACTGTCTCTTTCAACCAGAATTCCTCAGGTAAGTTAACCCAAAGCCAAAAGACTTTAGTGTAACAAGTACTTTAGTCTAACAGGGCTACACCTTAGTCACAGCGATTCTTTAGGCTAAATGCTAATGTCAGCATGTTAACATGCTCACAGCAAAAAAAAACATGCTGATATATAATGTTTGCCATCTTAGTTTAGCATGCTAGAATACTAACATTTGCTAATTTGCACACCACCACCAACAACAAGGACAGCCAAGGCTGATAAGCATGTTGTTAGTTTTGCAGGGATTTGGTCATAAATCAAAGTACTAGAATACTGAAATATTGACCTGATGGTGCACTAGCAGAAAAGTTAAAAAGTCCTTCATTAAGTTACAGCCCTCCTGTCACATTGTTGGACTTATGGTCGACCATTAAAAAAAAAGGGATCAGAACCAGATATTGGGTTTTTTTATTCCAAACATTCTTCTTCCTTCTCAATTAATTAATTTTCCCACAATTCAAATACTGACAGTACAGTCACATATTCAGGTGTGTTATGCTAGTAGTGGCCCCAGGTAGCCTGGAGCCACTACTAGGGTAGCCTGGAGCCACTGGACTTGTGGAGTGGCCTACAAAGATAAGCTCAAGTCTTCATCTCCAACTAACGATGCATCGAGTGATCCTGTAAGCTGCATATTTCTACCTCATTTTGGGACCAAGCAGTTTAGCAGCAATATTTAATTATAACTCAATTTCACTTTACAATGTGACAAATATCTACCTCGTGCTTTATTGTATTTCATGGACTTGTAGATTATCTGTGTCTTGTAATACTTTCATATTTTAAAATCTCTTTGCTGTGAAGCTCCAGGCCACATTCTAAATGTATGTGCTGCTCTCTGCTGGTATACATTAATAATTACAATTAAAATGTCAGTAAGAGGAATATTAGTGATACTATATTGAATAAAATCATGTACAATGGTGCAGCTTTTAATGTGGTTTAAAGTAAGCCCTTCTCCCTTCTAGTTTGTCACGTATAGATCAACTTCCTGTGGACTTCAGTTTTTAAGTCTTCAATACAACAGCTTCATGCTGCCCTGTGAGGTTTTTAATGTGACTCAGGCATCATGTACACCATCTTCATCATCAACAGCATCACCATCCTCAAGTGCAACACAAAATTCTCTTACTCCCACAGCTGCTCCTCCATTGAAAACTAAGAGGAGGGAGGAATCGTCAACAGTAACATGGACCACAACTATCCAGACCTCATTTACCCAACCTGTCCCATCACCTGTTGATGTGACCACTACAAATTCAGCTCAATCCATCAATGATGCTGATGCCACCTCTACAGTTTCTACTCAATCCACAGACCTCGTGACAGCCAGGATTGGACAAGCCAAAACCAGTCCTGTAGTCGATACATCTTCATCTGCCACATCCCCATCTACCAAAGCGCAGCCCACTACTCTAGGGCCTGACCCAACATCTGTGACCCAGACCACACCAGCCACCATCACAACCACCACAGCTACCAACAGCATCAACAGTAGCTCTTTAAATACAGAAACTGTCTCTTTCAACCAGAATTCCTCAGGTAAGTTAACCCAAAGCCAAAAGACTTTAGTGTAACAAGTACTTTAGTCTAACAGGGCTACACCTTAGTCACAGCGATTCTTTAGGCTAAATGCTAATGTCAGCATGTTAACATGCTCACAGCAAAAAAAAACATGCTGATATATAATGTTTGCCATCTTAGTTTAGCATGCTAGAATACTAACATTTGCTAATTTGCACACCACCACCAACAACAAGGACAGCCAAGGCTGATAAGCATGTTGTTAGTTTTGCAGGGATTTGGTCATAAATCAAAGTACTAGAATACTGAAATATTGACCTGATGGTGCACTAGCAGAAAAGTTAAAAAGTCCTTCATTAAGTTACAGCCCTCCTGTCACATTGTTGGACTTATGGTCGACCATTAAAAAAAAAGGGATCAGAACCAGATATTGGGTTTTTTTATTCCAAACATTCTTCTTCCTTCTCAATTAATTAATTTTCCCACAATTCAAATACTGACAGTACAGTCACATATTCAGGTGTGTTATGCTAGTAGTGGCCCCAGGTAGCCTGGAGCCACTACTAGGGTAGCCTGGAGCCACTGGACTTGTGGAGTGGCCTACAAAGATAAGCTCAAGTCTTCATCTCCAACTAACGATGCATCGAGTGATCCTGTAAGCTGCATATTTCTACCTCATTTTGGGACCAAGCAGTTTAGCAGCAATATTTAATTATAACTCAATTTCACTTTACAATGTGACAAATATCTACCTCGTGCTTTATTGTATTTCATGGACTTGTAGATTATCTGTGTCTTGTAATACTTTCATATTTTAAAATCTCTTTGCTGTGAAGCTCCAGGCCACATTCTAAATGTATGTGCTGCTCTCTGCTGGTATACATTAATAATTACAATTAAAATGTCAGTAGGAGGAATATTAGTGATACTATATTGAATAGAATCATGTACAATGGTGCAGCTTTTAATGTGGCCCTTCTCCCTTCTAGTTTGTCACGTATAGATCAACTTCCTGTGGACTTCAGTTTTTAAGTCTTCATTACAACAGCTTCATGCTGCCCTGTGAGGTTTTTAATGTGACTCAGGCATCATGTACACCCCCCCCCCCCCGGTCTCGTAATCAGTGATCTACAGTCACAGGCAGCCACACACACACTACAGCTGTCCACAGGGAGCAGAGAACATAGAGCTCCAGCTACTCAAGTGTTTGTGAAGATATACAGTAAAAGGAACACAATGATGAGGGTCAGCCTGCAAACTCTAATAAAATGTAAGTAAACTCTGACATCAATACATGTTATTTCATTTGCTGACTAGCCTTAAAATCGAATTTCTCTCTTTCTCTTTTTATGTAGAAGAGTTCCCTTATCAAATAACAAAAATCAAGAAAACTGCTTAAATAAGTTGAATCGATGGTGCCTTTTTACTCAGGGAGATAGGGGAAATGCAGCCATACCACCATTGTTTGAAGACATTTTCAATTCAATTCAAGTTATAGCATCTTTATAAATACAGACTGTTTTAAAATAGGGGTCAAAAAAGTTTGTCACACTCTCCCTAATAGATGATAAGGTTACACACAAGAATGCTTCTTTAATGTTTGATCTGGTGTTGAGTTTTCAAGACTTACTGACGGTTAAAACAGATTTGTGTCAGACACACTAAAGCAAGGCAGGAAATGTTTTTTTTTATACTTTGACTGTGAAGAAAGCTGTACTGTTTTGAAATCTGTGGATAGTGAAGGAAGTCTTATGTCAAAGCATAATGTGTAAATTTAAAAATAGCTCACAAATATGTAGTTACATTTTTCAAAAGGTAATTTTCACTTGGGCACTGTAGTTTTTATCAGGAAGAAATAGTGCATTTGTTGGGCACTATTTTCAGCATTAATCCACATTTGGCGGTCTAGATTGCGTGCGGCTGCAGTTAATGTTCAAAAGCACATTTAAAACTTAAGTTTGAAGCCTGCTCTAACTCCCATGTGCAATAAACTATCATCGTTTTCCTTGTATTTCATTTCTTTTTAAATATATGGTTTGTTGTATGCTATGTATACATGATTATACACTACATAGTCAAAAGTATATGGACATTGCAATGTTACACCAGTTAGTGATCACTAAACATCTCATTTTAAAATTATAGGCATTAACAATAATAGCCTCCGCTACCCCGGGAAGGCCACAGGTTCCATTTGTCTGCATAAAACTATAGCAGCCTACTCTTGTTTATATTTTATAAGTGAAGCTAGCTAACTTTACATCCGTTCGCTTGTTTTGCTGATTTGTTTCTCTGCCTTGCCATCTTTGTTTTATTTGAATTCAAGGCATCTGGTTCTGTTGTACAATTATTGGTGATTTTTGCCAGAACATAAACTGGACCTGCTTCTAATTTAGCATTCACTGATTTTAGCCAGTAGGCTGATATTTTCCAGGGCACACACATAAAATATTAACATCTGTACAACATAACAGATTAGACATTGCACATTCTAGATCTAAGGGGGAAATTATTATTAATAAAATATTGTTGGTCATCATAAATCAATTGAGACTATCTTGTTTCTGACAGGGTTAAATTACAAGTGCAATAAAAACAGAACTGCAGTACAACTAAAGTAGGGCAGTGAAATGCTATACCAATCAAATACAGAACATAAAAATGATCTGTAAGCAGATTACAATCAGTGATATCATTTCTAAAACACTAACAATTGATTTTAAGGGGCTGCTACAGAAGCTTATTATATAGCTTTGTATAATTTGGGGGACTCTCTATGATGACATCATCAGAGTTATTTGTTGTAAAGCTCCCCCACAGCCACACAAGACATTATACAATTGTTTTCAGCAGCTGAGTAGGACACCTAGTGTTAATAAACTGACCTGACCTTAATGTGTGGAGTGGACCTTTAAAATAAAGAAACAACATCAGAAAGGACAGAGATGGAATATACGCAATCATTCTGCTATGGTCTCCTTAAAGCCAATGGGACCATAAAAAAGGAATTGATCAGAGAAACAAGAATGGCTTTTGTATACTTTGTTATATATATTTAAGCAAATTTCTGCAGAAAGTAACAAACATATTTTATCTTGGATTGCAGGTATACTGTTGTGCTGTGCAGTAACAGCCGTATTATCTTCATCACCACCCTCAACAACAACCAGTGTTCATCAAATCAAAATTCCAACTCCATCTACAAAAGAATCCACCAGCAACACAGCTTTCACCCCAACAACAGCCAGGAATGAGGAAAGCAGCACTCATCACTTGACAACTTCATCAGAAGCCTTTTCTACCTCCTCTTCTTCCCCTTCATCATCCCCGTCTTCCACATATATCCCAACTTCAGACCAGGATTCTAGGACCACCGCCACCAGCATAACCAGCCCCAGCAACACCACTAGCACTACACAAACCAGCACTGCAACTGCCACCCAGCCCAACAGCACCACCACCAGTTCCAACACCAGCACTACTAATAGCACCAACACCAGTACCACCACCAGCGCGACTACTTACAATAGTACCAGCACCAACGGCATCACCACCAGTTCCAACACCAGCACTACTAATAGCACCAACACCAGTACCACCACCAGCGCGACTACTTACAATAGTACCAGCAGCAACGGCAGCACCACCAGTTCCAACACCAGCACTACTAATAGCACCAACACCAGTACCACCACCAGCGCGACTACTTACAATAGTACCAGCAGCAATGGCAGCACCACCAGCACCACCACCAATACCACCCAAACCACCACCCTGGTAGAAGAGGGACACAAGTCTGAGGCTCTGAGCTCAGGTGCGTGGCAACAAAAAGTTGTTCGGTTTTTGTTTTTGGCATTTGGCAGTTAATATACACATTTAATCTTTATTGAAAAAGTAATAGCCCTCTTTTACAAGTTTAATATTTATACTAAAACAAATCTGTGTATAGGAACATGGCTGAGAGTCTACAGCCATGCTGGCGGTTCTATGAGGCCATGCTGGAACTGCAGTAGTTTTAGCTAAATGCTCACATCGGCATGCTAACAGGATATTTATCAGGTATATATTTACCATGTTCACCATCTTAGTCTAACGTTTTTGTGACACCAGTCTGTACCAAATCTTGTGACAATTCATCCATTAGCTGTTGAGATGCTTCAATAAGGTCAGTGACATGCATTTTCATATGTCTCTGACATAACTGGTTGCTGTCATTGTTAAAATCTAGACAAATGAACCAAACTAAGAGTAATTTCACAAAGCAGGCGCTTACCGCTCCTGGCTCCATTGTTTATTACCTACACTGGCTTTGTTGTTAAAGGCAATACACAATCACGGTAATTACACATGTAAGGTACAAGGTACAAAGTAAATTTATTTGTCATATTACAACAGACTTGTAAAATGACATACAGTTTGTAGTTCCCTTTATGATACAAAACAAACAATATATGTAATAAAACTATAAAATTATATACAGAAATAAACTGTTTTGCATGGTGCAGTGCTGTGGATGAATTTAGGAGTCTCATAGCCTGGGGGAAGAAGCAGCTCTGCATTGGATACTTCTGTATCTCTTGCCAGACGGCAGCAGGGTGAACAGGCTGTGGCTGGGTGGGTACTCTCTTTTAATATCTTTTGGGCTTTGTTCCTCACCAATATCACTGATGCTCAGTTGATGGGTACCAATGAGCTGCTCAAGCGTTTTTGAGTTTTCTTCACCAGCGTGGAGATTTGAGATGACCATGTTAGGCTCTCTGTGATGCTGATTCCCAGAAATACCTGAAACTGTTCACCTACTCCACCTCAGCTCCACTGATGTAGACAGGAGTATGTGTCTTTGCCTTTTTTTTTCTAAAATCAACAGCTCCTTGGTTTTGCTAATGTTGAGCAGTAGGTTGTTTTCTGCGCACCCCTTCAAGATTATAGATTTCCTCCCGAAACAAAGTCTCATCATTGTTTGAACTCCTAGAAAGATTTAGAGTAGGTAGTAACTAGCTGATTGGCAAAGGTTTTTAGTACACAACCAGGAATGTTATCAGGCTTAGCAGCTTTACTCATATACACTCTCAGCAGGACACTTATCACATCTCCTGGGGATACTGATTTGGGTCGAGTGGACTTTACGAGCTTTTGGAGTAGACTTTACAGCTGACTCTTTGTTGAAGAGATCAAAGCAAGCCTGCCATCTTTGGTGTTGTTGGTGTTGAGGTCTCTGCTGATGTCGCCGATTCACCTCCTCGATGCCAGCTTTCAGTCTCGCTTCGGCGGTGCTGTAAGTTTCTTTCTCACCAGCAGCTTTTTTTGGCTCTGGATAGAGCCCTCACCTCTCCGTTCATTTGGATATTCCAAAAACAAAAAAGTCAAACAAACCTGGCTGTTTAAAAAGATTAAAGTGGAAAAATTACAAGAACTAACACAATTTTCTTTTTATATTCTCTGAGATAAAAACTTGGAAAATATTATTTTTTGGATGTGCTTAATAAAGGAACTACTAACAAAACTAATATCATTACTAGTATTACAAGTCTGCTGCTCATCTAGGCAACCACCCGACCTTGCTCTCCTCATGTGTTCTTGTGAACTTTCAGAGAGTCCCCATAACCAGCGAAACTCACTCTCACTCCTGCACAGTGCGAGAGGAGAGGGAAAGATGCTGACTGAGGTTACTCTGAGCAGCATGTAGGTGATTAAATTAGCTTATAATATAATTGACTTTTGTATATTTCTCACTTTTCCCCTGATGTTCCCCTGAAACAGGATATTTGATTTTGCTGGACAACCCTGCATTTTATTGCCAGAGACTCTGTGTCAGGACACCTACTGTGTCAATGATGTCGTCTCATTGAAATGAAAGAGGAAACTGTTGACCCAGTGCTAATTTCTGTCTGACTGCAGACTTGCTGTTTATCTGACACTCATGGCCTCTGATGTGGCAGTTTATTTTTGTAAGCATGATCAAAATGCGTTGCCAGTAAACTGCAAATTATCTCACAAAACCAAATAACTCCAAATGTGTTTCAGAATGTGTACACACATACATTACATTGACTAACACATAATCATGCCTGAAGGAAACCAATAAAGCACAAGTGATCTCACTTCTCTGATCAAAGAGGTCAAATGTATGCATGCAGTCAGTGCTTCAGACTATCTGTTCCTGATTCTCTTTGACCTTCTTAAGCACGCTGTCGATCTGTGGTTAATATGTAAACGAAACAGTTTCCTCTCACGCTTCCTTGTTTACTTTGCAGTCGAGTCTTGACTAGCTGAACATGAACAGCCACGGTTTATAGAGAAAAGGCTGTCTGCCAGTTATATTCCTTCTCATTTTATCATTTACAAAACTGTTTAACCACTGACCTGGTTTTTCATGACATCGCAGTAGACCTTTTAGTGAATTCTAGAAGTTGTACAGGCAACCCTGGCATGGAAAATTCATAAGCTCATTGTCTCTGCCACTGAGAAACTATTTCACTTTATTTCTGTATGTTTTAGTTGTTGTGAAGTTGTATGTTCCGTTATCTTATGGGATGACACTTATGGTATCAGTTTTATTATATTATCTTCACCATTGAAAGACATGTTAAGCAAGACTTGCAGCTCTTTATATCTATCCATTTTACTGTTTCTTACTGGATGTGTTTGCACTGGTTAAGTGCTCTATAGCAAAGTCCTGTAACTGAGTTTGAACTCTGTACCTTGTGTGGAGGAACTCCCTTCCCGTCATCAGAAACCATTACATCTGATAATATATCTGACTCAGAACTATTACAGTGTCTTACCAGGACTGTGTCTTTTAAACCTGACTACAGCTGGGCTAGGTGTCCTGTTAAAGTTGTTAAGTAGTATGAGTCACCCAGCCACCCTTTTTGACCAAATAGCCCCAGAAACTAAAGTCAGGACCTAAATCTGGAATTACTTCTCTATAGTTATACACTATAGCAGAACCAAAAGTCTCAAACTAAAAGTTCCTGTTTGCTTTCCCATTTGAAGAACACTGAGGATTAGTCATTAGTCACTGACCAGGAGCTACTGTACATTTAATTGAAATGCTGGTAAAGTACCTGAGTTCCTTCTGAGGTTTCTGGAAGAGTTCCAATGGTAGAAAAGTGCTGTCCTGTAAGTCCTGTAAGTAGTTACACATATGGTGGCTTTTTGGGGCCATTGCATAGGTAAAAAAAAGGAGGAGGAGGTATTCCGGAAAAAAACTTTCCGAGATTAAAGTTGTACATTTACAAGAAAAACATCTGAATATCCTCTGAGATTATAAAGTCACACATTTATGAGATAAAAATCTTCTTTTATTTCTATTATTTTTTTAGATGTGCTTGTGTTATTAAAGGTGCTGTACTTTATTAAGCAGGGCATGCATATGTTAATAACAACAGCCATCACATATATGCTACATACACCAACCAGTAATGAAATACTTTTTTGCTGTTAGCATAGCATAAAAAAATTGTTGAAGACCTGCAGGCGTTTATAAATGACTAAGATATTATGCATGCTTTCAAGTGACCTTGCTGCAGTCTCTCATATCTGCCTAGCTGTCTGAAAGCTGCACCTCTTTTCCTATGTCTGTACTGACTTGTATTATTGAATGAGTTTCTTTCTCATAAATTTGCCACTTTAATCATGGAAGCTTTTTCTCTGAATATTACCTCCCTCCCCCAGCTCTGTCATTTGTTTGTTTTTATCTACAATGGCCCCTAAATGCTGTGATATACAGGACTGTGTCAGAAATGTTCAAAGCAGTTTTTGTCTCTGCAGATGGAAAATGTGTTGGCGAACACCATTTATTCAGATAAGCTGCCTCCAGTGTTTAAACACAATCAGTAGAGATTTTCCATTCAGTACTACAGCAACTCCTCCACCCTTCACAAAATACTTCCATTGTAACTTTGTTGGGCGCTTAAAGTTTGCTTCAGTGCTATCATCAGGTCAAACTTTTGATTTGTCTGCTTTTGTTTAGTGCTAATTAGCCACTAGCATGCTTACACAATAAACTAGGATGGTGAAAATTTTAAATATTGTACCGGTACCGGCTAAACATCAGCATTTAAGCTTCTCGTATACTTAGCATGTTAGCACTGTGCAGCCACAACATGCAGCTAGCGTGGTTGTGAATTCTTAGTCTTGTTTATATTTAAAGGGGTTTTCACATCTCTGGTCACATTTTCAGATATGTTCCATGCGGTCAAATCAATTTGGCTCAAGAATGGCTCAAATCATGCATACCTGCGTGTAGGACTTATTTCAAACCTGCGATCAATTTTGTGAATATTATAAAGGGAACTACAACCGACTTGAGTGTGTAGCGCAAACCTCTATCTTGAACTCCGCCCACTTAACACAAAGTTAGTTCAAAGACCAGACAGCTTTGTGTCACGACGAGTTGAAGACTGATAAGAAACATTAAATAGACAAAAATGAGCAGATAAGATCACACATTTTTGTCAGAGCTTCCAACAGAGACCCCACATCTCTAAGATATCCTCCCAACTCAATGTTAAAACTCACAAAAGTTATCCATTACTTGGTAGACCGTTGTTTCTTTTGATTCTGCTTCCAGGTAAGAGGAGTGATTTGGAGTGTATTGGCTGTCTGAACATTTTTACTGGGCCTCAGTGCCATCTCACAGACACAAAATAGACAAAGGGTGGCCAAACTACGGCCCCACTGCCCAATTTTAAATGGTGCACAGTGAATTTTTAAAAATAAATTAGAATATGGCATCAAACACACACTCAGCAGCAGCTCAAAATATATTCAAACCGAGACTCACCAGTGATACAGCCCAAGTCCGTCCTGAGTAACAGCAGGTTAGCTAGCCAGGACCCAACACCAAGGTAGCTAGGTAGGTAGGTAGGTAGGTTTATTGTCACAATATAACAAGTTATAGAGAAAAATTGTGTTTTGTAACTCCCTTCTGCTACATAACAGACAATATACATTAATATAGATCAATTGTAAAAAAAAAAAAAAAAAAAAAAACAGAAATAAACTTTTCTATGCTCAGTGGAGCAGTGCTTAGGATGAATTAGAGTTTGATTACTTGGTGGGAAAAACTGCTCTGCAGTCAGGCTGTGGCTGGGTGGGTACTTTCCTTTAGTATCCTTTGGGCTCTGCGTAGGCACCTCACCTCACAGATATCACTGATGCTCGGGAGATGGGTACCAGTCCGGTCCAGGGCTGCGCACATCCCATGCCAGTTTGTGTTTCCAGTCAGGATGCTTTCTATTGCTCCTCTGTAAAAGCTGACAAGAGCTTGGCACGGTAATTTGGCCAGTACTTTCTGAGCTTTCTTTACCAGCATGGAGATGTGAGACGACCATGTCAGGTTCTCTGTGATGCTGATTCCCAGGAACCTGAAACTGTTCACCTGCTCCACCTCAGCTCCACTGATGTAGACAGAAGTGTGTGTCTTTATCTCCTTCTTCCTGAAATCAACGATCAGCTCCTTAGTTTTGCTGACGTTGAGCAGCAGGTTGTTCTCTGAGCACCACTCTGCAAGATTATAAATTTCCTCCCAATATGAAGTCTGGTGTCATCCGCAAACTTCACAACAGAGTTTTCTTCATGTCGGGGGATGCAGTCGTGGGTGTACAGTGTGAACAAGGGGGTGGGGGGCTGAGCACACAGCCCTGGGGGGCTCGTGTGTTGAGCACTAGAGTGAACACTTTTGGACAGCCGATCTCCAAAATGACTTTTTTTGTGTGATTTTTGTTAAGATATGGACTCTTGTGGAAATTTAAATAAGATAAGGACTCATTCAGAAGTGTATTGAGCACTGACTGTACAACACACTGTGGTGAACTGTGGTGAAGTTCTTGTGTGCTTTGTGTTTCTTATTGTCTGTCAGCACCTTTAAAGTACCTGCCTGTTAGTGAGTTGTTAATTAAGGAGGAGGAGTGATTGTCATGTACTGAAAAACATCTGTCCTTTGTGCATGCAAACATGCATGTAATGTTTGTGAGTAAATATATTGAACATTGAATGACAACATTATTTACATTAAATGATGCCTAAATTAGTTGGATGTTATTCCTTCATTCATCGCACACATTTCTGAGTGGCAATATAAACTAAGTTCAGGCCCTGTCTTGGATGATTAGTAGTTGATGAAAACATTTACCTCAGTTGAATAAACATGGTGGAATCAAGAAGATGTTTTTGCTTATGGCCCACATTCAAATAAGTCTGGCCACCCCTGAAATAAACCTTCTGCAGTGTGTTTGGCCCAGTTTCCCCACAAGGAGAGTACTAATTAATTCTTAAGCTTAAATGTCAGTTTGATCTACTGGAAAAGGACTTATCTTAGATCATCAGGAAGTGCTTGAAAAACACCTTAAGCAGATCACTACTCTATCGCAGGACTAAAATGACTGACAATGGACTAATTGTTTCTCTCTTTCTCCATCTCTCTCTACAGGAAGTACTGCCGCCATTGTTTTTGTGTTCATCTTAACTGTCATCCTAGTGTTAGGTGGGGTGTACTACTATAAGTTCCGGTGAGTCCAGAGCTTAATGAGATCTCCTACAAACTACATTAACATGCACCTTTTAATGCACTGAAGGTCAAGTGATGACACGTTGCGGGAAATGTAATATCACGTAGATTACATCTATACTGGACTTCCTGAAAAGTAGCAATTACAAACGTGTCCCTGCTCTTAGTCTGACTATATATCTGTCTCTTTTTTTTCTGCCCCCAACCTCATAACAATGAAAAGGAATATAATGTAATTGGTGATGCTCATATCATTGAAAAATTACATTAAAAAGAGCAAATGTTTGTTGTTTTCATAAACCTGGTTAATTCTACTGAACTGAACTTAGTAGTAGATAATAATAAAAAAATGTTCTCAACAAAATTTCTGTCAACCAGAGAGATTACCTCAGGGTTTCAGAGCAGATCTGAAATGTTCGTACAACCAAAAGAGCATTCCTTTACTTATCTTTAACTCCTTTTATCATTGTAAATAAGACTACTGTCATCTCATCTTTGTTAGTGAATATATGACTTTATCTCTTACTCTATTTTCTCTATTTCCTCTCCATTTCAGACGTACATCCTACGGTCCTCTTCTGGACAACGAGCACAGCACTTTGGGAAACTTCACCAACCCAATGTATGACGCCTGAATTGTAACTTTTCACCTTGTAAACCCAAAGTCCTCAGTCTGCAGAAGGAGCCATTGTGATGTAGCTTGATTCAACTCAACTGCCAAACAAATCTGATTGTTTCTTTTGATCTTTCTTCAAGTAGCCTCATTTTTATTGCTAGGTACAGTAAACATGAAAGGAAATAAAATTACTCAGGTAGCAACAGCGCATAATCACATTACCACCACGGAAAGGACAGGTTAAATCACAGCGCAAATAAGTGTGTTCATCAGAGGTGTCGTGAAAAAGTACAGAAGGAGCAGATTATGTGAACTCAACCAGGTTGTTTTAGTAAAAAAGCTCAAACATAATCAAAACTCTACTTTGTTGTAAATAAGATGATTAAAAACAGTATTAAGGCGTGACCGAAGACCTGACAATCTGCGAGCTGCAATGGATAAAAAGTATTACTACAGAGAACAGGGCTGTCAAAATTTGTGATTTATAAAGTTAAAAAATGCTTAATTTTCTGCAAGAATACACATGAAGTGCAAATAATGTACAGTAGATTTACATCATAACGCAAAATGTTTCTTTTCTAATCATGGACTGTTCTCACAGGCACCTGCTGAGATACTTTTTCAATGCTTAAACTTGGACATTATGAGATTTTCAGAATTTCCTTTAAACCGGGAAGTATAGACGTGTCAACATTACCTAGGACAACCAAGAAAGGAGGCTAACGTACAGAAAATGTTTCATTCATTAATTTTCAACTGTGGAAAAGTGTGTTTTTCCATCCAGAGACTTGGATCACATGCATTCCGTTAAAAAGTTAAAATGACTTGTTTTCATATTACAAACTGAACGGTTCCGAGGCAGAGGAAGACTGGAGCAAAAGGTTCAAGTCCTTTGCTGAGCCTGACCTTTGACCTCCCTGTGGAAGAACCAAAAAAAACAAATTTCCTTACTGCAGACATTTGTAGGCAACCGGAATTCATAGGAAAACAAATCAGAAAATCTCACTTACATTAAATGTGGCCATAAAATGTGGGGTGGGGAATTGTGTCTCTATAGCACCCGATCAACTTCAACTATTATTTTGTTTGTTTTTTATTGAATGTTATTAATGTGATGCTTTTTTTCATGTTCTAGTGTGATTTTGCTCTGCTTAGCAGCTCAGGCTGCATCTGTGATTGTAATTGGCACTCCTTAAGTGTTTGATATAGTATTGTTTGCATTCAGGTGAAGAATAAAGTGACTCTTTTGATGTTTTTGACACAATTATTTTGTGTTATATGATTGTATTAAATTGTTTGTGGAATAAAAGTGAATAAGGAATGAAGAGAGTCCCTTGTTTAGATGTAACTCTTTAAACTTTAAGGTACATACATAATGATAATGAGTAGCAGAAGCACTTACAAGCATTTGTATGCTTTTTTAGCCATGCTAGAGGAATGGCTCTAGAGAATGGTAATGTCAGTCTGTTATCGAGTTTTGTAAAGAAGTTCATGGTGCACAGAGGAAGAATCCTAAAGACTCCCTGACTTTTCCTCTAGCGCCAGCATGAGGTTGACACTTGTGGCTTTGAGTGAAATGTCTCAATAACTATCAGGTCAAAATTCTGACCAAGTACCTGCAAAATTAATGACATTCCTATCAACTTCAGTGGTACTTTGTGTTTAGTGCTGATTAGCAAATGTTAGCATGTTAAAATTCTTCTGGAGTCATGAAAAATGATCTTGGAATGTAAAAATGGCGTCAGAGGACAGAAAAGGATCAGACCCTTCTGCTCTGGGTTATTCAAAATAACCACTGTAGCTATCTAAATACAACGCCAAGATAGCTGTTTCAAGATATGAAACAAATAAAGCGATATGACAACACCACATGTGCCTAAAACACACATGCTTGCTAAGATTCAGCTCAGTGTCTTTGTCTCTGCTTCTCAATGGGCTGCAGAGCATTTATTAGTGGAAGCCTTAATAATGGTCCTGTCATCACTGCCCTCCCATCGTAACTGCTCCCATTCTTCTTCTTTCTCAAACCCTTGCATGAAATCCTCCTCTGCTGCCCACGCTTTACCTACTTTACCCCTTACCAGCTTCCTTGTTTTTTTTTTCTTACGTCAGATCTTCTTCTAAAAGAGCCTACTTTTAAGAGCAGCTAAACTATTTATTGCTGCCAAAACATTCATGATTGCATGTTACTAAAATACCGCACTGTAACTGGACAATCATTGACTTGTTAACCTTGACATTTAAATGTTTATCTCTAAATGATAATTTAACAGGAGTAACAGTCACAAGTTGCTTATATTAGCCATCATACCAAACCAAGTGAGGCTATAACAGAAGCACCCCTGACTGTGTAAGTAAGGGCACATTTTATTGCTTATTAAATTCAACTTTGCTTTTCAAGTAGAAGGATTGTGTTGTGTTTTCTTTCTACAGTTGCACAGTCTTCCTTTAAGAGATGCTTGCAATTTATACATTATCCATCCATCGTCAACCGCTTACCCAATCCCAGCTGACATTGGGTGAAAGGCGGGGTACATTCTGGACAGGCCGCCAGTCCATCGCAGGGCCACACATAGACAAACAACCACACCTAAGGACAAGAGATGGTGGGAGAGAACCCACACAGACATGAGGAGAACATGCAAACTCGACACAGAAAGGCCTGGGCAACTGGTTTGAACCCACAACCTTCTTGCTGTGAGGCCACAGTGCTAACCACTGCACCACCGCGCTGTCCCCATGAAAATATTAACCCCTGAAATGTAGCCTAATAAAGTACAAGTGTAAAGTAATATAAAATGGAGTAATCAAGTAGATAGAAATACCTCAAAGTGTAAATGTACTAAGGTATTTTTCTGTTTTTCATTACTGGGCAGCACAAGTAATAATAGAGGAAGCAGATTCTTGTGCTCCACTATTATTATCAGGCCCTAAAGACCCTGAGCAGTGTTTAGTGTGTGTAAGTGTGTGTGTCTGTGTGTGTGTGTGTGTCTGTGTGTGTGTGTGTGTGTGTGTGTGTGTGTGGGTGTGTGTGTGTGTGTGTGTGTTTCATTATAATTACACTGAGGGAAGGGTGGAACCATCTTGACATTGACATAATGCAGTCCTTAAAATGAGCCACAGTCTGTCACTGTTACTGTTACTGACAGATGTCATCATTATACAAGGGCACATACTGCATAGTGTATAGAGCAGTTATGTGTCAGTAAAGTGGGATTAAATTCAGTCCATCTGTACACTGACTGCGTTTGTGTTGATTTTTACATGTCAGACATGTATTTCCTTCCTGTTTGGATAACAGGAAACACACAAGATCCAACAACAAACAGACACCGCCTCTGGAAACCTGAGCATTTGTGCAATAAATCTTACCCCCCCCCCACCCTCTTTGTCCACACACAGACCGCTCTACTAACAGAACGGAAACCGTTTTCTGAATTGCAGTTTCATTTACGTGGGAAAATAGGTCAGGGTTTCACTTTCTGCCGCACTGAAGCTGCTTTGGGTTTCTTCACATCTGAAAACACTTTATGACCAAACTCTACACTGCACTGCTGTAAAGCTGAAAAAGGAGAGAATAAAAACAGGATAGAGATTTTAGAGATACAATTAGAACAGAAATGAAGTTTGGTGACTGTTTTTTTCTATCAAATTAACTGTTAAATTATGTAAACCTAATAGCAGTGGTAACTAAAACTGTGGAACTGCAAAATACCTTTAGCGGATTTCTGAATGAAATTAAACTTTTCTGATTTGCTTTGCTTTGATGTGATATGTTCACTAAATTAGTGAACACATAGGAAACATGTACACCAACAGACACACACACACACAACCCCTGCAGTGCAGAGCTGTTTGGTGCGAGTAAAGATCAAGAAATTCCCCTAGAAAAGCTTGACACATGATGTTGCACTGGTTTGTGACTAATGTATCAGAAGTTTTGACAGCACCTCATGATGCCTTAAAACTCACTCAAAATGTCTTGACATGATGTCCCATCAAGAGTTTTAGTCTCATACATGTCACATGATTTTAGAAACCTCTCACTCAAAGAGCAAACACAATTCTCTACATAAGACACAAAAATCTAACAGGAAGTGACTTTCACATTTTCAAAACGCAACCAATCAAAATGCTACGCTTTTTCATCAGCTCACTCCTCACTTCTCCCTCGTCTCTCTCTGCAGACAGAGATTAGCAGGCAGGTGAGAACAGGAACAAGTAAGTGTCATGTAGCGCCCAGAAACCTGGATAAGACACATGCCTTTGTTGTGAGAGATCCAGGTTCAATCCCCCACTGTGAGACATCCACCATTGTGTCCCTGAGCAAGACACTTAACCCCTAGTTGCTACAGAGGCGTGCGACCTCTGACATATATAGCAATTGTAAGTTGCTTTAGATAAAAGCGTCAGCTAAATGAATAAATGTAAATGTAAACCTTATATGGAGAGGGCAGAGAAGAGGGCTGGCAGCTTGGGAGAAGTCCCGCGTACCGCCCCACTTCAAGCACTGACAAAGGTCAGATTGCCTGTTTTGAACAATGGATGGAGTGCAAGGGGAGTAGGAGGGAGAGGCAGGGCACAACAATGAGGACAAGTTCAAGGAGGAAGAGTTGGAAGAGTTATGTCGACTGAGCTGAACATGCACATAAGTACACAAGGGTTTAAAATAATTTGTTCTGGCCTTTAAAAAGGTTTGGCCCGATCCCTGACTTATTTGCCAACCCCTGATCTAGGGGTTATTTCAACAGTACAGTATTGTAAATAACTATTACAGTAATTTTTTGCAATGAAAGTAAAAATAATACTTTTGGTGTATCTATGTTCATGATTTCCTTTTCTTTTACAGTTTTTTCCAACGGCTTACACACATTTTCAAAACTATGTCTCCTTTTTTCAAAACTCTACACACAATTCCCAAAACTGCTCACACAAAATGCAAAATGCCTCATATGTCCTTCAAAATGAAACACTGCATTCAAAATGCCATAAACACATCCCAAAATGAATCATTGGCCCCTTTGCTCTTATGTATTTCCGCACCACATGATTTTATCTACTGTTCATATATTTTATATTATACTATTTATGTTTTTCTTTATCTTTATCTGTTTTAAATGTACATAACTTCTGCTTTTACTGTAAAGTGTCTTTGAGTGTCTTGAAAAGCGCTATAGAAATAAAATGTATTATTATTATTATTATTATTATTATTAATATTGGTGTTTCCGGTAATTTGTCAACACTGAAGTTGTAGTTACTGTAGGTTGCACTTTATTGTTATCACCAGTAGATGTCACTAATCACCAGTAGATGTCACTAATCACCAGGGTTTGTAGCATACAAATGGCATCACAGAGAAAACAGCAGAGAGGAATTTAAAGTCCTGACAATGTGTGAATGTGAACTCTTGTTCATCTGTCTCTGTAAGGACAGTTTTAGACCTTCAGAGAGGATATTTATGCAAAGTGAGGTCCTCATATAGTAGATACACCAACAAAAGTCTTTCAAGATCAAATTTTAGTTTTAAGCCAAATAACTTACTTTATGTGGTGTTTCCCTAAAATCAAATAAATATGTGTATTTTAGGAGATTATTTTTTAAGACAACCCCCAGAAATAGATCAAACTATAGATCCATTCAGTCATTTAACCTTCTCAAGTCAAAAAACATGAAGAAGAATAAAAAGATGTGGAAACTCAGCACTAAAGTTGACATGAGAGGTATGTGATGGATCATTTTGTCCCCAAAAATAGCTACTTGTTGATTTTGCACAAATAGTAAGAAAGACAGTTTTCATCAGAAAAAATATTCAGTTCAATTTTATTTATATAGCAGCATAACAGAAGTCATCTCATTACTCTTTGTTATAATATTTAGAGAGACCCAAAAAATTCCCACCATGAGCAAGCAAGAGCAAGGAAAAACTCCTGGGCCGTGGGCGACCATCTGACTAAGAAGGAGGAGAGGGGGGAGGATGCCACTGTATTATTTCATAGGATAAGATCCACAAAACATCACACACACACACAGTCACACCACTAATTAGACTTCATGAAAACACTCCATTAAGTCACATTTCACTTGTATGTTTGGTTTATATCCGCAAGTCCTTATAGAAGAGTTTCCCAATGCTTCACTCACCAGTGATTTTGTAGAAAGAGGTCTTGTGTTTTTCCATTCTCACTTACAGTTTTTTTCAATGGTACGGAAGCGCATTGCATTCACCAAAGAAAAAAAAATTGGAAGCCTTATCTCATAATTACAGATCAGGATGTCGTAATTATGAGAAAAGATCTTGTGATTATGAGAAAAGATCTCGTAA